AGATCACATATGCAGAAGCTTAGATTACTACAGGAAACAAACCAAGGGGACTTAAATGGAAGATTCAAAGATACTCAAAAACAGGTTGATGAACTGCTCGAAGAAGAGGAAATCAAATGGAGGCAACGGTCCAAACAATTATGGCTCAAATGTGGGGATAAGAACACATCATATTTTCACAAATGTGCCTCTCAGAGAAAGAAACAAAATACTATCAGGAGCATTTTAAATGAAAGGGGTGAAACTTCCACTAAACAGGAGGAGATATGCAACATATTCAGAGATTTCTACCAACAACTGATCACGACCTCAAACCCATCTGGCATTGAAGAAGCAGTACAGTACCTAGAGGCTAAAGTAACTTTGGAAATGAATGCCCAGCTACAGAAAACATGTACAGATGACGAAGTGAAGCGAGCAGTCTTTGAAATGGACCCGATGAGTGCTCATGGGCCTAATGGTTTTTCTGCAAGTTTCTACCAAGACAATTGGGGGTCTATTGGAGAAGGACTCTATGCTGCCGTTAAAGATCTTCTTGCCTCCAAGCAAGGGTTCCATGAAATCAATAATGCTTTTATTGTACTGATCCCTAAGAATAAGTCTCCTGCTTTTGTTTCCGATTTTAGACCAATTAGTTTGTGTAACATTTGCTATAAAGTGGTGTCGAAAGTATTGGCTAATAGGCTCAAACCCTTTTTATCTGATATTATCTCACCAGCTCAAAGTGTTTTCGTCCCAGGGTGCCTGATTTCAGACAATATTATTGTGGCCTATGAAGCAATGCACTCTATGAAGTACAGAGTTAAAGGGAAGAAAGAAGGATACATGGCTCTAAAGCTTGACTGGAATTTCCTAGAAGCTGTTTTGAGGAAATTTGGCTTTGGCAAGAGGTGGATAGAACTAATCATGAAATGTGTACAAACAGTGAAATACTCCCTGATTGTTAATGGAGAGCCTCAAAGACATTTCCACCCATCGAGAGGATTAAGGTAAGGGGACCCTCTATCCCCTTATCTCTTCATTCTGTGCTCAGAAGTGTTTGGCAATTTACTGGATAAGGCGGAGGCAAAAGGATTCATAACTGGATTCCCATTTACTAGGGGTAACCTCCTGGTGAATCATCTATTCTTTGTAGACGATAGCTTGATTTTCTGTAAGGCAAATGTTCTGGAATGGTGGCGACTCTCCTACATTCTGAAATTATTCGAACATGCATCAGGGCAACAGCTTAATATGGACAAGACTTCCATTTATTTCAGTGATAATACCAAAGCGGAGATCAAGGATACAGTTTTACACGCAGCCAAAGTTAGAGAAACGAAGTCCTTTGAGAAGTACCTGGGTCTGCTGGCTTATGTTGGAAGGAATAAAATGACAGCTTTCAAACCGGTACTTGATTCGATCAGAAGTAGAATGAATAGCTGGACTGTGAAGTTTATTTCTCAATCAGGTAAAGAAGTTCTCCTCAAGTCTATTATCCAAGCTATTCCAACTTACTGCATGGGTATGTTCAAGCTTCCACGAACCATTCTTCTGTCTAAAAACTGCCAAGTTAAGAAGTTTTGGTGGGGAAGTAGAGGAGATAAAACCAAAACACACTGCTCTCTTGGAACTTGTTGGGGAAGCCTAAAAATGCTGGCGGTCTTGGATATAGAGACTTTGAACTCTTCAATGTTGCATTACTAGCAAAATAGGGATGGCGTCTTATCCAAAATCCAGACTCTTTGGCTGCATTGGTACTTAAAGCGAAATACTTCAGTAGAACTGATTTCTTGAACAACAAAATTGGTAGCAATGCTTCGTTCCTTTGGAAGAGTTTTTCAGAAGGCAAAGAGCTATTAAAAGAAGGACTACTATGGCGCATAGGAAATGGAGAATCTGTGGTCATTGGTAAGGATAAATGGATCCCCCAAATCTCTATTTTTAAATTTCAATCTTCCCTACAAGACAGATTTCAAAACGGTAAAGTAAGTGAGCTCATCGTTGCAGAAACGAAAACTTGGAATACACAACTTATATCTGAACTCTTTTCTGCGTCTGAAGCCAGTGTCATTAGCATGATCCTATTAGTCCATGTGGAAGTCCGGACAAATTGATATGACGGGGCACGAAGGATGGAAACTTCGGAGTAAAACGTGCATACTAGTTCATCAATCAGATGAAACAAAATTCATTGGGACAATGCTCTACAAGCAATAATCAGAATGAAGTCTGGGGTAACATTTGGAGGTTAAAGGCATCAAATGCTAATAAAATGTTCTTGTGGCGGGCGACCCATGAATCCCTACCAACAAATTTGAACTTGAACAGAAGGAAAATTAGGGAATGTCCCTTATGTCCGATTTGTAAAAGGGAAGAGGAGTCAGTAGTTCATATTTTGTGGTTGTGTACTTCATCTCAAGATGTTTGGGCCTCTAGCTCACGAAAGATTCAGAAGATGTCCTTTATGCCTCTGAATTTCAAGGAACTATTGTGCCATCTACTCAATAGATTGTTAGAAGAAGAAATAGAAATTTTCACAGCCACGGTCTATCTTATCTGGAAAAGGCGAAACTCCCTTATTTTTTAGAATAAATTTGTGGATCCAGTCTCAGTAGCACACACTACTCGACAAAATGCTTTGGACTATAGAAGAGTGAATGCATTGCCGATCAAAAATAGAATAGACCAAGCTGCCCCACATGGGGTCGAACCGCCCTTGCATAAATATAAAGTGAACTGGGATGCGGTGGTAGACTCGACTAACAACCGAATTGGAATTGGTGTTATTGTGAGAGATTGGACATGAAATATTAAAGCATCACTGATGTCCCCAAGGAATGTTCTCCCGGATGCTTTTTTGGCTGAATCAGTTGGAGTTATGGAAGCTGTCAAACTATGTAGACATCTCGAGCTAAGATCAATCATGCTAGAAGGAGACGCGATGAATGTGGTGAAGGGACTTAAGGGTGAACTAGAGATCTGGAACTATCCCGGCCTACTGATTCAGGACGCGAAGAGTTTGCTTGATTATTTTCATTCTTGATCTATCAGTCATGTACCTAGACAGGTTAATGTGGTTGCTCATACTTTAGCAAATGAAGCACTTAAACTCTTTGAGAAGAGAATTGTGTTGAAGGAAACTCCTCCTTGTATCCAGACCTTGCTATTTTAAGCTTAATGAAATGCTTATTTTCAAAAAAGTAATTAAAAGTTTGTTTAACAATATAGCACTTGACGGTTTAATACAGGCAACTTATTTTTATCTTTGACTTAAAACTTATTTATTTACATATAAGTACACTTTTCAAGCATAGGGGAATGTGCATTTCTCGAGTGAACTATTAAGAATATGACTCAAAATTCAATTACTAATGATATATGTTATCTGCAACATAGTGTTGAGATACTACTTTATTTATTATTTTGTTTAACTCAGTATAACGATTTTTCTAACAATATGTCAAATATGATATCAAGATGACGTTATTACGAAAAATGGTATCCCAATCACCTTAAATGCAACTGACGAAATATTATCATTAATTCTTTATCTTTATTATTTATTTGTGTTATCATATATTTTCAATATACAATTACTAGTTGAAAATTTTAAATCCACCTAAAATTAACAAGAAGTATGAATGAAAATATATTGGATACCAGTTAATTGTCAAAGAATAATATAACTAAGAATTTCATGCACGAAATGTTAGCTACTAATTATCTTCCATGCAAGCCCCTTTGTTTTGTAGATAACGATCCAAAATAAAGGTTTTGAATTGATCGCAAGATAATGACAATAATAAAATAAACAAAAACAAAAACAAAAACAAGAACACCAAGATTTACTTGAAAATCTAATATGGGAAAAAACCACGAGCAGAATAAAAAAAAATTCACTATAATCAATAATGAATGTGATTACAATATCAAGATCTCAATGCTCTCAATTGAAATATAAGCTCTCTAACTCTCAAGACATTGTTGAATTTGTATATGTAGAGATACAACGTGGAATATATATAGGAACCTCTTTTTGGAATTCTAGATGATGAAGAAAACATAAAATACGGAAAAACTGGAATAAAAAGCATCACGGCGCCTCCTCCATGCCCGGTTCTGCAATATTCAAGGACACGGAGCGTAGCGTCGGGCTTGTTGCTGATTTCGTCTCCAAGGTATTTTCTTCATCCCAAAGTCCATTTTCAAGCCAAACTCCCAATCCTTGATGAAATTTAATCTTTATTAATTAGAACTTTTAAAACCAAAACTCCTTAGACTTCTGCTATTCAACCAAATACCAAATCACGTGAAATTTGGATCACACCACAATAAATCTCCACCTTGAACCAAATTTCATCACGAGAAATTCAAAACACATCTTCAAGTAAACTCCACTTCTCCTCTTCCAAACAAACCCCAACAGACTAATCAATGACAAATACCAACTAAGTTCAAACAATGCTCAAACTTAGCAATGTGAAGTTGTTTTGTCATCACATCCGTAGGACTTCCTTGGTATCAACCTTGCTCACTACAATATCACAACGAGCAATCACATCACGCACAAAATGATACCTCACATCAATGTTCTTAGTCCTCTCGTGAAACATCTGATCATTAATCAAGAAAATTGCACTCTGACTATCACAGTATACTATAGAAATTTGCAAGTCTTCATTGAATTCACCAATCAATCCTCTTAGTCACATAGTCTCCTTACATGCCTTTGTAATGACCATGTACTCTACTTTTGTTGTAGATAAAGATATTGTATTTTGCAAAGTAGCTTTCCAGCTGATAGTACAGCCTCCAAGGGTAAACACA